TCTGCCTGCAAGGGTCTCAGGATGAAACAGGATGTAGGGCTCAGTAGGAGAAGGGTTGTGGTACTGGGAACATAACCATGTTATGTTTCTCTGGAGCCCGGAGAAAGGAGCCCGCAGTGCAAGGTATGTGTGTGTGTGTATAGGGATCTTGTTGTAGGAAGAATGCCATGGGGTTTCTTTATAGGGAGATTCGAACAGGACATTAAAGAATATTATTTTGCTTGTGTACCTTAAAAATAGAGAAACAGATTTTGGTCTGAGATAGCTTAACTGTACGGTGTAATGGGAAATATCTATTCAGTCTTCGTCCCCTGTTCCTGGCACAGCTCCTAAAATCCTTGGAATTTCCTGACTGACAAGGGTGACAGGAACGTTTTTGTTAATAACAAGCCCCTTTCAATCACACCTAAGTTTATGGTAATGAGGTGAGTGTCAGGATGGGTGAGGCAGGTCGATAGCTTCAGGAGGGAGCTTGGTCACCAGAAAGACCAAGACATGATTGCAGTGTGGAACTTTCAGCCCCACCCCAGAGTTCCAGGGAGGGGAGAGGGGCTGGAGGTTGAGTTTAATGATTTAATCAATCATGCCTAAGTAATGAAACCACCATAAAACACCTAAACGATGGGGTTTGGAGAGCTCACTGATTGGTGACACATCAGGGTGCTGGGAGGGTGGTGCATTTGGGGATGGCACAGAAGCTCTGCCTGTGCTCTTCCCCCATACCTTGCCCTGTGCATCTCTTCCATTTGACTGTTCCTGAATTGTATTCTTTATAATAAACTGGTAATAGTAAAGCACTTTCCTGAATTCTGTGAGCTCTTCTAGCAAAATATGGAACCTCAGAGGGGGTCATGGGAACCCTTGATTTATAACTCGTTGGTCAGAAGCATGGGAGACTTGGGACGTCTTAAGTGGGGCAGTCTTGTGGGACTGAGCCCTGAACCCATGGGGTCTGTGCTAACTCAGAGCAGTTAGTATCAGAATTGAGTTAAATTGTTGGACAGCAGTTGGTGTCAAAGAATTGCAGAATTGGTGTTGGATAAGACACCATGTATTTGTTGTCAGAAAGAATCTGAGAAACTTTCTAGACTAAAATGATGTTTTTAAATGTGTCGTTGGGATTATAATGCTTCGTATAAAAAGTACAACGAAAAAAAGAAAAGAAAAATTTATTATAAAAAGCAAATAATACTATTTAAACTTGAGGAGCCTTCCAAATATATTGCTATAAATATATACACACAGGTATTTATACAGATTTGTTTTACATAGATGGAGTCATCCTACATGTAGTATATATATCTAGGTGTGCTTTTTTCACTCAGCAACATCTTGAACATTATTCAGTGTTAATAAATGTAGATTCACACCCTTCTTTCTAATGCCCAAACAGTAAGTCTGCATGCATATAGCCAGCCTCTAGCAGATGACTTTCTGAGCCTATGGTAATCTTGTCCAGACATTGATACCAAGCCAGAAAATTATTTAAAGATTTCTAGACAAAAATTTTGTTTATTTACTTATTCATTCCTTCGAATTATCCCAACATAACTTAAAACTTCTAACAATTGTATGTATGACACAGTATAATGAACTGATGAGTAGCCATTAAAGAATCAGGAGCAGTGGAAGGAAAGCACCGATCATGTATCTGAGGTTTGGGAGGGGAAGGGCTCGGGCTTCCCCGAGTAGTAGGCGAGCAGGGCCTGAGGTATAGATGCCCAAAGGCTCTGTAGCTGTTGGTCTGATTAGAACTGCTGATCTGATCTGTGCTCTTCAGGAGAATTCCTTTGTAGACCACGGAACAGCAGACCCACTCAGGCTTTTGCCCTCTGTCTTTCCTTCTTACTTTCAAATGTCTTGTCTGTCTATGGTTAGTTGGTTATTCAAGAGCTTACCTGGGCCTACATTCTCACCTGGCACTCTCCTCTGTCTCTCTCTCTCTCTCTCTCTCTCTCTCTCTCTCTCTATCTATCTATCTATCTATCTATATATCCATAGAAAAAGATGGAATATATAGATATATATCTATTTCCTCTGTACAAATATATGTATATATCCATGTATACATGTGTATGTATAGCCACAAGTATATATGTATATAATCATAGAACACCATAACATATATAGAGAATGATGGATAAATATTCTCTCTATATAGCTATTCCCTTTCTCTAAATATATGTATATAGCTGTGTGTGTATAGCCATATGGAGAGAGAGAGAGAGATTCATCTCCTGGCGTACCTTTAGCGTTTTGCTGGGCACATGCCCATATGCACTCCAATGAAGGTCTCCAATAAACAGACATCCTCCCCTGTGCTGTTCTGTGTGTTCCTCAGCAATGACTCCAAACCCTTCTTTTATGTCTTTCTCTGGATGCTTCTTGTGATAGGAAACCATGTAGTCTTAATTTAGTGTTTACAAAATGCCTGAAAATTAATAGTAAATTCTCAGGATTCTTCCACAGAGCTGAGCTCTTTACGTATAGTACCTTCCCCTTTCTCCCTGCTTTCTTTCTTGCTTTCCTTTCTTCTTCCATCTTAAAAACTCCATGGTTTTTTCTGTGTTCTTTCTAAATGACCTGGATTTTGCCAGACTGCAGAGAGGCTTCTTACCAGCAGGGGAGCTGTAAGCTCTTGGAGCTGTTTCTGTGCTTAGGGAAGGCACCTCGGGTGTCTAATAGAATGTAATGGAAAATTTAATTTCCTATATTCTTTATTTTTTCTACAGTTTAAAATGCATTATTATTTTCTCTAATAACATAATTAATAATTTCATTTAACTTAATTTGCTTAGTGCATTTTTTTTTTTTTTTTTTTTTTTACTGCAAATAAGGCTTTACACCAAAATGCTGACGATCAGATCAGGATCGGTGATGTTATCATATAAACTGATTAATATTTTAGGAGGTAATTAGAACTGGCATTTGGGGGGATTCATACAATTCATATGAAAACGGGTAATTTGTTATTCTAACCTGGGTACTTCAGTTGTGTAATAGCGTTAAGAGCAGATTAAATGTTTTGTCAAACTAGGAAACCTAACTGAACTTTTCAGACTTCCTGCTTTATATCACAGTCACGAGGCCGACTTTCCACAGATAACGTTGTTTTGAAATATGAGACTGCTCAGCACTTGTAAAAAGAAATTGAACGTTGGCGGGCGTGGGGGGCTACTTGGAAAGCTGAGTGGGGGCGTGGTTCGGTCCGGGCTGCCTGATGGGCTCACGTTCCTGTAGCCGCAGCGCCCTCGTGTGGCGAAGTACGTCTAGCCTTTTTAGCCGCTTCCAGGCCAGGGTACCACAAGGCCCATCACTTCCCGAGGCAGGAGCTGTTATTACTTGGTCATATTCCACCTTCCTCCAGGAGGTTAGCTAGGCACTATGGCTGTCTTGCAGTTTTGCGTTTGAACATTGCTTGTAAAAAGTCCTGGCTAGGCTATAGAGATTCCATTTTACGTTATGTGGGTTTGCCTTTTACAAGGGTTACACAGTTCCCCCCTCAACGGGTTGTTTGGAACGCGGAGTTTATTTCCGCACAGAAACAGTTTCATAAATGATGGTTGGGAACCCAGGGCATTCACAGAGACCTCCTAACTTCAGTCATATCCCGCAGGAGATTTCTGAGTTGGGAAGACCCAGTTAGGTACTGGACTTCCTTTTGTGCCTTTGCTGAATCACCCCTATAGGCCCTGTGGGGTGGGTGTATCCCTGAAAGAGGACCCTAGCATGATTGGAGCCTGGTCATCAGTGGGGAGGGGGAAATGTTACATGAGAGGCCCCACCCTCTGCTCTGCTCTGCTTGCTGCAGGGACAGACTGCTCTCCTTGCCTGTCCCTGGGGAAGTGAGCCCAGTGGGTGAGAGGAATAGATGCCTCATTGCCTCACTTGGAAGCTGATTTCTCACCAAATCCGTTAGACCCATGGTCTCCGAAAACCTCATTTGGGTTGAGATCAGGAAACAATTTTTTCAAAGTCATTTTTTCTTTTTGCATCTAGTTATAAGTACTGTTGGTTTATGGAGCCTGGAGTGAAGCCCCAGTGAAGCCCCGATGCCTCCCGCCTCTCCTCCGGCGGCCTGGACAAACGACTGTCCTGTGAAATTCAAGATTTGCAGATAGATGGCTTTCCTGTTAGCAAGAGAGAGCTGTAACATACTCTCCTCATAAATATATGTGTATATGTGTGTGTATATGAATGTGTGTATGTAATGTAACCTGTATAACCTCCATACATGTGTGTATATATGTATGTATGTGTGTGTGTGGATAGATATATAGATGGGTATAGTTAGAAGCTGGGTGATTAAAAGTCCTGCTTCAGAATCAGAAAGTTTTTCAAACCTAGCTGCTCCAATGCTGAAAAATTGTTTTAATCTCTCTTTGCCTCCTTATCTTTCTGTAAAACTGGGACTAAAATAGTACCTCCCTCAAAGTCCTGAGGTTTGATGGAAGCCCTGAGGCAGACGTTGGCAGGACCTACCACGGTTCAAGGGTGGGAAAGCAAAGCAGGGCCGGCGGCTGTTACTGGCCAGAGCCGGGGGCAGGCTGCCGCTCTGCGGAGGTGGAGGTGATGGATGGATGAGTCTCAGAACTGACTTTTCTTGGGTCATGTCCCACTCATCAAAGAACCATCAGATTGTAACTTGACTTCCATTGTAGCTTAGCAAAACGAAAGAGTGGGCAGTCTTGCAAGCTTTCCGCTTCTCATTATCTATCATTAACTTGACCTGGAGTTGTTTACGGTCCTCATGGCAAACTACCCCCTAGAGAAGATCTATTTTTGCTGGGCTGAAAGGGGCAGGCTTCTGAGACCAAGTCAAGAGCTGGATCCTGGGCTCACCAACACACTGCCTCCATTTGAGTCCTTTTGGGGGAATACTTCGTGGCATCCTCTTGCACTGCTTTCTTCTGCTAGCTTCATAGGACCAGCCAAAGAATAAACTGCTATAAAGACTGATGAAGACTTAATTCAAAAAATACCTTTTTCTTTTCTCCTAGGACACCTGGGGTGAGCTCTTCATTGGCGACGTAGAAATGAAAAAGGTTTTGGCTTGTCCCAGGTAAGGACTCTCTGGGGCGTGGCATGCTCATCGGTTCTTAACTGTCCCCTAACCTTTTGTTATTGTGTGACAGGTGCATTATGACCACAGTGGACCCAGATACTGGAGTGATGAGCAGGGAGGAGCCGCTGGAAACCCTGAAAAGGTAGGACATCCACGTGTCCAGTGTATTTCTGTATTATCCCCATCCTTTGAATCACTTGTGGCTGTAGGTGCTCTGTCTGGGCACATTTCTGCTCTCTGCTTGTTTTGTGTCTGTTGTTTAATGTACGTGAGTACTTGCGGCTTTCTCTTTATTTTCTAGATGGATCTTCGAGTGCTTTGGACAAAATTTTAATTGTATAATCCTACATTTTGAAGTTTTCGTGTCTCTCACATCAATTTTTTTTTTTTTTTTTTGTGGTACGCAGGCCTCTCACTGTTATTCTGGCCTCTCCCGTTGTGGAGCACAGGCTCCGGACGCGCAGGCCCAGTGGCCATGGCTCACGGGCCCAGCCGCTCCGCGGCATGTGGGATCTTCCCGGACCGGGGCACAAACCCGTGTTCCCTGCATCGGCAGGCGGACTCTCAACCACTGCGCCACCAGGGAAGCCCTCTCACATCAATTTTTAATAACCTTTACATGTGTATTTCCAAATTAAAACCTCAAGTCATTTTATTTTTGTTTCAACTCACATTTATTTGATAGAATCAATGTCAAGAATATGAGAATTGTTGAGGAAGCCTGGAGTTCAGGGCAGGTCCATTTTGAGATTGTACGGGCATTTATTTCCATGAGTTGTGAAGCTGGACGTACACATGCAAACAAAGTTTTTATTTTAAGTAACACGTACAAGTGTCTTCTTTTGGGCTCAAAACAAAGCCATAGAAAAACTGTTCAGACTCTCAGGATACTTCTAGAAAAACCAAGATTATTTGCAGTTTGACTAATTGCCAAGACTTCTCTGTCCACATTTTAGAAAAGGCTTGCTGCTTATTTATAGAGAACCTGAGAATGAACGCTTGAATTCCACTGAGAGCACTTAGGTTATTTCCTCTGGGTGCCTAAGGGTGAATTTTTGCTTCTTTCAGCTACCGCCTGTGTGATCCTTCCGAGAAGCCCATTTACCAGTCATGCCCACTTTTTGGGATCTATTATTCGGTGGAAAAAATTGGAAGCCTGAAAGTTGGTGACCCCGTGTACCAGATGGTACAGTGATAGATCCACAAGGTAAAGGGCAATCTTTGCTTCTGGGATGCAGTACCTTGACGCCATGGCCACATTTTCTTGTGTTGAGATGTTTTTACGTTTTGCTGCTTTAACTCTTGGGAGAGAGAGCAGTTTGTGTTCTGATCTTTGGAGCTGGAAAATGCCCCTTATTTTTATTCCCCGCAGCAATCAGCATTCTTGCAGTCTCCTCCACCTCCCTTTCCCATCCAGTTATAAAATGTGGATGCAGGAGCCCCAGCAGAAAGACAGGTTTGGGTCCCAGTTCATTAGGGAACATCATGAAGGAATAAGAAAGTGAAGGTGAACGGCTCTGGAGAGTTCTGTATTTATTTTTTGTGTCTGTGATAGAAAAGTGAAGGGGAAATGTATAGACTATTCAAAGTCAACTTGGGGGAAATATGTTAAATCAAATGCTTGTTATCAAATGTATTTTTTTTATTTTTGCGGTACGCGGGCCTCTCACTGTTGTGGCCTCTCCCGTTGCGGAGCACAGGCTCTGGACGCGCAGGCTCAGCGGCCATGACTCACGGGCCCAGCCGCTCCACGGCACGTGGGATCTTCCCGGACCGGGGCACGAACCCGTGTCCCCTGCATCGGCAGGCGGACTCTCAACCACTGCGCCACCAGGGAAGCCCATATCAAATGTATTTTTAAAATATGGTTCACAGTGCGAAAAAAATCGGTGCAACAAGGTGCCTGGATTCTGAATCTTAAGGAAGAAAATAGTGTTCTCACGTTGAGTTCATTGGGCCAAATAAAATTCAGACTCCTGGAGCATAATGCCTACCCTCCAAATTATAGGAATGGGAAAGTCAGTCAGAAGACTTCAAATTGAAGACTATAAGTAACTCTTCTCATAAAATTCATAACCCCGATCCTAAAGTCCCTTCATCTCCAAAACTCTTGATCATTCTTCTCTTTAATTCTGACCTGGCTTTCACACCTTCTTGCCTGACCATCCTTCAGGACCACGTGGCACAGTGGTTTAGACAGTCTAGATCGATCCTTAGGCAGACTTGGGTTTATAATCCTAGCAGTTCCCTTTCCTAACTCTGTTGAGTTATTTAATCCCTCTATCCCTCTAAGCCTCAGTACTCTTACCTGCACAGTGGGAGTAAAAATAGTACTCACCAAAACAACCACTACAAGTTATTTTGAGGGTTAACTCATATGAAGTTGTAGCATTGCATGGAAAGTGGTCCATAAACATTAGCTACGATCTTTATTGTCACCTTTGCAACAAGTACTCCATGTAGGGCCCAGTCTCAGGTGCCATAGTGAATAGAAAGATGAGACAGGCTGGGCAAAAAAGAAAGAAACGTCTCCTGGCTATGGTCAGGCATGTACATAACCATATTACATCTTTCATATTACATCATACATACATGTTACATATTACATATTTCATCAGTCCGAGGATGCCTATTTTCCCCACATTTTAAAACCTCTGAAATCAGAAAGCTTCTTATACCATTTCAGGGTGTCTTCTAGAAAAACCTTGGTGTGCACAGAATAATATATCTTAGGGTTGATGTATCTTGGATTTGATGAAATACAGTAAATGCTAGAGAAAAAAATTGTGAAAGTCCCAAGTGCCTACCATTTCTAAAATCATCTGGGGAAAATGGACCCAAGCCTGAGTCATCTAGCTTGAGTGGAACTGATCCTGTGTCCCTGTTGGCCAGGCCTCCATTCACAGGACGTGGACGGGTACCTGAGCCAATATCTTTCACATGTTGTCTGCATTTGAAGGACCCAATGGCCTCTGAAGTACCTTAACAGTGAGGGGTCCTCCGTATTGCTCAGTCTCAGACCTCCTCAGAATCAGATCCTGTTGTGCTGCAGTGGACGGAGGTGAGGAACACCCGTGTTTCACTCACATTCAGCCGTTTCCAATCGTCTTAGCTCCCACAGTCCTTGTGTTAGAAAGCCTAAGATAATGTGTTATCTTCTGTAGTCCTTCTAGGGTCTCTGTGAGATAGAAGTGATAATCAGCATTTTCCAGGGCAAGAAACAAAGGCTCAGATAGGTCAGCTGACCAAGAGGAGGCTTGAAGCCTATTATAGGGTCCTGAAAGTTAGTTTGCCGGTAAAGGTCACTGTGGAAACTGTGTAAGTCCAAATCATGATCAAAACGGTGCGTTTGGAAGATCATCCTGAGAGCCATGTGTGGTATGGACAGGAGGCAGGTGAGAGGGGAGGGGAAAGGCCAGGCAGGGGTGACAGCATGTGATTTAAATGGGGTGGAGGTCACGGGCGTGGAGAGGCAGTGTGGCGTGCCCAGATGCTCAGCACGACGTGGGTGCTGTTTGCCCTTTGGTCCTAAGCTCCTTTTCAGCGTTTTTTGAATCACTTTTCAGCTTTTTTTATCACCGCTCCCCTGCCAAACCCTGAGTGCTTCCTGATGGCTCTCTCCTGCTTCTCTGCTCTGAACATTCTTCTACTCCATGAGTGCCCTGAGGGCCAGCCCTTCAGAGTCCCGTCAGGGGAACATGGTCATCCCTGCTGCCCGCCCCCCAGGGCACCGAGAGGTTTCCTCTCTGATGGGCATTTCTGTTGGGCTTTAAAAATAACAGCGTTGCTCCCCTACTTTGATTGTGAGCCTACTGTAGTTTCTGATTCTGGAGGGTCTCCTTTATCCAACAGGTTGATTAAAGCCATTAAGAAAAATAGCTGTTAATACTTGCACGGGGGTTACTTGAGTTGTTTTTTTAAATCCATGTAAAATATAATTATACAAAAGTTTATCTGTTCCATTATAAATGCAATTCATGTTCATCACAGCAAATTTAGAAGACACCAGAAATGGAGAAGAAAAAGTCACCCATTGTTACCATTTGTAAATTTTATTTTGGTTTGTTTTTTGTCTGTTTAAGGTAGCCATGATCTATATTATATCATGATCTGTATGATTATATATCATATATAATGCAGAGGTATATTATATATAATTTATATATATATATACAAATATGTATCTGTCGACTGAAGAAAAATACACAACCTAAACGTTGTGAGTTAAGTCTTATTGGGGGATTTTACTGAGGATATAGCCTGGGAGACAGCTTCTGAGCTAGCTCTGAGGAACTGCTCTGAAGAGATAAGGGAGAAGCCAGGATATATATGAGTTTTTTGCGGGGGGGAAAAAAATATGTAGTCGAACTTCAAAAGATGACTGCTAATCACAAAGAGTAGACATCTCAAGTTAATGATTTTAGTGCTTTTCTGCCTATGGGAAGGTGCAAGATCACCTTAATGATCTAGGGTCAGTATTCAAAACACGGAATTCTTTCTGTTTTTCTCCATCCTGAATTCTCCTCAGTGCACACTTTCCTTGGGCTTCTGCAGTTGCTGATGGCTTGATCCTCGTAGGACCAGAATGGTGGGCAACATTTTTTGTTTACTGGAAGGGCAGGCAACATTCCCTGCCCACATATCATATGATATATGTACACACACATATATAGGTATATCTCTGAACTATGAGCTTATGAATATGTGTCTATGAATTACAAACTAGGTATCATAAGCACTTTCATAGTCCTCCAACCTATTAAAATGTCATCTTTTAAAAAATAAATTTATTTATTTATTTGGCTGCGTTGGGTCTTCATTGCTGCGAGCGGGCTTTCTTTAGTTGCGGCGAGAGGGGGCTACTCTTCTTCGTGGTGCGCGGGCTTCTCACTGCGGTGGCTTCCCTTGTTGCAGAGCACGGTGTCTAGGCGCGCGGGCTTCAGTAGTTGCAGCACGTGAGCTCGGTAGTTTTGGCTTGCGGGCTCTAGAGCGCAGGCTAAGTAGTTATGGTGCACGGGCTTAGTTGCTCCGCAGCATGTGTGATCTTCCCGGATCAGGGCTCGAACCCGTGTCCCCAGCATTGTCAGGCAGATTCTCAACCACTGCGCCACCAGGGAAGTCCTAAAATGTCATTTTTGATGGCTTCGTAACATTACGTGACACGGTTTAAACACCATTTTACAGTATTTGACACTCGAACTATATCCAATTTTGTTATCAATAATATTCATTTTAAAATTGTTTTTCTATAAGTTAGGTTTCTAAAGGTGGAATTATTGCCTCGTGGGGTGTAGGCATATTTTTTAGCATCTTGACCAATTGCTTTCCAAAGGGTTCTTCCTATCTGCACCCCAACCTGTCATATGAGAGAGAGATCCCTGGCTCTGGCCTTTGCCGAGGTAATTTGGTACGGGACATAGTTTATATTTTGCGCATTTTAACCTCATAAGTGACTGGTTTGTGCATGTTTGAATTACTTATGACTGGTAAGAGAAACAGCCAGATAAGTAGAGATTCTTACAATTTTTTCAGGTTTCAGCATCCCGGAGGCACTGATCAGGATTTTAATGACCACAGCAACACCACCTGGGCAAATTCTTATTGCCCAGCCTGTGACCATCTTCATCGTAGAAATGAATCTCTTTTTGGAGTTAACGGATGCTCTGAGTTAATGCAAGGAAAGTATGAGAGGTGATTTGGGAATAATAACATATGTAGATTTTAGATAATGAAGACTTTTAAAATAAATAAAATTGCCCATAAAATTAATGTTATGGTAGCTACTGCACTTCTCCAATCCCTGACATTAATATTGATGAATAAAGAAAGTCTAAAGGACAAAATAATGCCATTTACAGCAACATGGATGCAACTAGAGATCATCATACGAAGTGAAATAAGTCAGAAAGAGATAAATAACATATGATATCACTTATATGTGGAATCTAAAGTATGGCACAAATGAACGTATCTATAAAACAGAAACAGACTCATAGACATAGAGAACAGACTTATGGTTGCCAAGGGGGAGCAGAGAGGGATGGACTGGGAGTCTGGGGTTGGTAGATATAAACTGTTACATTCAGAATGGATAAGCAAGGTCTTAACGTATAGCATAAGGAATTGTATTCAATATCCTGTGATGAACCATAATGGAAAATAATATAAAAAAAGAATGTAAAAAAAAAGTTTAAA